AATTACATCTAAATTACAAAAATTACAAAAAGATATTTTATATAAGTAAAATATTCAGAACTGTTAAAAATATACAAAAATATAACACTTTTTTCTCCTCAAAAATAATGCTGTTACTAAAATACTAATATTTTAAAATAATACTTAACTAAAATACTTAAAAATATCAAACATGTCAGCAAAATGACAATAAAAATAAATATATATAAAATTACTGTTAAAAAATGAAATTTAATACTGATAAAACAAATATATTTATAAATTATTACAACTGATAATTATTTCTTTAGGTAAAAGAAACGATATAAGATCATAAATTGCGGACTTCACAGTTAATAATATTTCGAACTCGGAAAGTCCAGTATCGTGAAATTATTCTGGATATATCATTGGAGTTCTGATATCCTTGCTTTGTGTTACTTCCAAATGATGATCATATAAAGACTTTCGACTTTCTCTTAAGCAATTTCACACAGCTGACGCTCTCGTTTCTTCTTGCAAAATGTTCCTACGTCCAATGTATCGGTGTGATAGATCATCGACAGAATCATAATAAATTATATTTCATGTATTTACTTCGATCTTTGTTTGAAAATTTTCTGAACTTTAAGATATTCGAAGAATACATTGGACACAATCACAAATTACGTATCCAAAAATAGTTAATTTAGTGATTTAAACATTTCTTAGTCTCAAAGAAAATCGTTTTGTAAAGCCATATTGCGAACTCGATTATTTGCACTACTCGTTGCAATATGGGAAATCGGGAGAGTCCGAATTTGCCTGACTTACCTTCCCTATAAAGCCTTTGAACGAGAGGCGAACGTGCTTTCTCGAAAAGGAATGGGACGTTTAATAAGAGTAACTGTACCTAAAAGAAATTGAGAATGGGCGGTAGCAGGCGACGACGGCAATGGCGGCAGCAACGAGTTTGGGTGAAAGGTTCGCGAACAGCGAAGGCATTGCCCGGGGCGGATACGTGCTCCAAAGGATATTAAAGTATTTTAATTGCAGCGGATCTCGCGGAACGCTGGAAGGATTTATTCGAAATCACTCGATTGAGTCTATGAATAGGGATTAAGCTTGGCCCCGGCGGCGGACGCGGCGTTGGCTCGACGCAGCGCGCGCCGTCGCGCCGAGCGAATTCCAGACGTCAGGAGTGGAAGGCAGAAATAATTGAATATTTAATAGGATAACTCACATATAGCCGCTTTCCGTCGTAGCTGCGCGGTGTCATCCGTCACGACGACGGGACGTCGATTTTTCTGTCACGTTCCGTGGCTGCCGATTAATTATACAGTCTACCCGGGCGTAATACGAGGGTAATACGAAGACGAGGACAACTTTAATAAATCTAGTTATTTCGTAGCCAATGCACACACAAAAAATCTTATTTCATCAATCCTCCGTACATCCTCGCATAAAAGACTACGATTTCCCGCCCATGACAGTAATATTGACACGAGGAAGATATTGTCTGTCGGAAGCAGAATTGGAGGAGCATACATACATCAAAACGCGATCTGCGATCAGAAATATTCATTGCGAAACATAGAACAAACGATTATATCAGCAACATGGGAGTTTAATTAATTTAACAGCGAGATCAGGATTATTCTCGAAGAGAAATCAAATTTCAGATATTAATTTAAACAAATAATTAATGTCACGAATGTAATACTATTGACAGCCAAATATTTCATTATCAGCTATTTAAAAAAGCTTTTATTCCGAAAATTGTTACTATGCATATAGCTATAGTGAACGTAATATGCAAGTTCAATTTTTAATTAATCTTGATAATTACGATTGATTTGTTTTATACAATAAATTATTATTTTATTTATTATTTAAATAAGTACTGAAAAAAGTCATAGCAAATAAAGTTTTATTCGTCGTCAAATTTATATTAAAAATTAACAAATTTATATATACCAAAATTTTGTAAAAAATATTAAAGACTCCTGCGATTATCAAGTGCTTAAATTCTTTTATCGCGATATAAGAGTATCCGCGGTATAAAAAGTCATGGCACGTCAAACGTACAGCTAAACCGTTACTTTAGAACAGTAT